GTCAATCGCCGTCAGCACCAGACGGTGCTCGGCCAACGACTCGCGGTCCAGAGATTTCTTTAATACAAGATAAGGTAATGATATTCCGTTCATTCTCTTTTCCTATCTCCAGAGCGAAGTGCTCGCTGGGGCTGAGGGTATAGGAGAGCTGCGCGTTGGCTCCGATATCCGCATCCGACGCGCCCTCCAGCGGGAAACGGGATCCCGGCACGTCGTAAATTCCGCGATGCTGAGGTTTTTGGTGGCGGCGGGGAAGAGCGGCGCATTGTCGTTGATGTCGGTGACCTCCACCTCCACGTGGAAGACGCGCAGCGGCCGCTCCAGCAGCACCTCCAGGCGCAGGGCGCAGGGCGCGCTCTTCCCGCACAGCTCCTCCCGGTCCAGCCGCGAGCTCACCACCAGCGCCCCCCGCTCGCCCCGCTCACCTCCACGCTCGCCCGCCGGCCCTGCGCCACCAGCCGCAGCCGCCGCGCCTCCGCCTCGCCCGCCTCCAGGCCCAGGTCCCTGCGCCAGCCGCCCCACCACCGTGCCGCCCTTGGCTTCCTCCGGCACCGAGTAGCGCACCTGCCCGCCGCCCAGCGCCCAGGCCGCCTGCAGCACCAGCACCCGCACCACGGCCCGCACGCACACCACCATGGCCGCCGCCGCCGCCCCGCGCCCCGCACGGCTCCCAACGCCGCCGCCGCCGCTCTCCTGCCCGCCCCGCGCCGCTCCCCCCCGCGCGCACAGCCGCCCTTCCCGCCGCCCCGGGGCGGAGCCGCCCTCACCGCCGCTCCCGCGCCGTTCCTGAGCCTGCAGCGACACCGTGTGCTCCGACGCCTCACTCGCGCCCGCCGCCGACAGCACGACAGCGACACCGACACCGCCGCGCGGGACAGGACACCCCCGCCACTCGCGGGACACACCACGGACACGGCGCCGACAACCCACCTCAGCACAGCCCGAGACAGCTCCTCGCACACTGACTGGCTTCCAGCCTTGCTAGCTTTCCTTTCCCGTCTCTCTCCTCCTTTGCTTCTCCTCCATTCTCTCTCTTGCTTGCTTTCCTGCTTGCTTCTTGCTTGAATGCTTTCTTCTGCATGCATACTTCTTTCCTTCTTTCTCCCTTTTTCTTCTTCCACTTCTTTCCTTCTCTGCACTTTTTTCCTTCTTTCACTTTGTTCCTTCATTCTTGCTATTACTTCTTTCCCTTTGTTCCTTCTTTCACTTCTTTCCTTCTTTCTGAACCTTATTTCCTTCTTCATATTTCTTCATTCTTTCTCTCTGTTCCTTCGTTATTTGTATTTTTTTTTTTCGATTTCTGCTTCCTTTTTTTTTTTTTTTTAGTCCTATGTTACTTTCATTTTTTCTTTTACTTCCTTTCAGTCTTTCAGTTCCTTCTTTATTCTTACAAACTCGCTCTACTCCTCTCAATAGGCTACTGCAGGAGCGGATGCCCACTGCAAGCAGTTTCCAAGGACTCAGTTCAGGTAAGTCTTTCATTTAATAGCTCAGATTCACCATAACCCAGCATGCAAATTCTCCAAGAAGGGGTAAAGCATGAGGCAAATGCAGATCTGCCACGCAACCACACACTCCAAGGAAGGCTCTTTGGTGCAGCTCACTTGCCAACCACAAGCCAAACGGTGAGCTCTTGCTTAGCTTTTCAGGTACACATCCACTGCCAGAAACATTCCAGCAGCAAGAACCTCAGGACACAGAGCAATTACTCCCACCAGAAACATCTCCTCCATAACAAGAGCCAACCATCACAAAACCCAGCAACTCCACGAAGGTAACACCACTGCTTTTTCACTGAAACAAAACACCTCAACCAGCAACACATGCCCCCAGAGAAAAGCAGAAGTATTCCTCCTCTACATGTCTTTCCTGCCACCTGCTCACACTGAGCTGAAAAGCAATAGGAAAGGAATGAGATCAAGCACAGGACTCTGCTGCTCCACACCTAAAGACATTATCCAGGCTACTTTCCGTCCATCCAACATAAACATATTGCAGTTAAATAGCAGGAACTCGTGCATTGCCCTTTTGAATACATCTTCTCGGAGTACGAGCCACTTACCTGTAAGATCAGTGCTTACTTGTTTAGAAAAAGAAGCATTTCAATGAGAAGAGAACAGCCTATAAAGCACAATTTCTTTAAAAGTTATCACAGATTTCTGGGGAGGCTGGATGGAAAAATTTCCTTCAGCTATGTGACACCTTGGAAGTCACTGGACACCATGCACTGCTTCCAATACACACGCTCATTTTTGGAATGAGCCGTATTACAAGAGATGCACCATCTCGACCAAGGCCACTATGCAAGTGCACAGACTCAGGGGGCAAGTCGAGTGCACAAAGATTACACCCACCCCATCATGTCTCCTTAGAAATTGCCTCTATTCCTGAAGTCAGATAGACACCAGGGGAAAGAACTCTTGCCACTGGGAGAAACTGTTCTCCCCATTGGTACCCATGTATTCACCAGAAGGATCCAAGACTACAGGCATTCCCCAGGCAATGTTCAGTCCATCCAAACAATGAGAACACAACTGAAAAGCAGAAAATACATACTTTGTCTCTCAAAACATATTCTTTGCAGGTGAATGGGTGACCTGCAGCATCAGTGATTACTTGCTCAGGAAAACGAACAGATTATAGGATGGGGAACTGGTTTAAAAGAGAAATTCTCATTTAAAGTTATCAGTGTATTTCTAGGGAAGCTAGGCTGAACAGAAATAAACAAGGAAGCTTTCATGCAGGAGAGAAGAAACCCAAAGGATCTCATTCCAACTCATCAAAACAAAACCTTCGCCAACATCATAAACACAGAGGGCACTTCTTCCCCTCTTCCCACTTCTTGGCAAAAGGCCACACTCCAGCTTCCACCCAGCATCACCATTTCACACGCACAAGGCTCATTTCTCACTCAACACCATCCTGCCCATTGCCAAATGCCCGCCCACATTCCATGCTGCTTCCAAAATCACTGCCACAACACCTAGACAATGCTCCACCCCAACAATACAATCAAGCTCCAAATCCAACTCTGAGCATCACCCTTCGCCTTCTCCCACCACTGCCAGGATCTTCCACCTGCACAAATGACACTCACAACGATTAACACTGGCTCAGTAATCTCACATGGAAATGGTGAAAGCTGGCCTGATGGACATTTACACAGCTTCTGCTGGAGCAGCCACTCCTCATGCTCAGGAACACAGGAATCAAAGGCCATCTGACAGGACCACTGAAATCCAGGCCTATGGTACAGAACAATGAGATGAAGAAAAACCAAGTGGACAGACAAAAATAAAACTCTAAGTAGAGCCTGGGAAGGCCCTGGAACACCAGGACAGGAATTGACACAAATTGCCTTCCCTTGGAGACAGACAGACCTTCAACAGGATGAGACCTCACCAGCCTCATCTAACTGCAGTCTTCTTCCCGCTCTCAGCAAGGAACCACGGACGGCCATGTGCCACATTCCACACGAGGTACCTTAAGATCCTATCACATGGGAAGCAAGAGGAAGACCTGAAAGCCAATGACATGCTCTGAACGACAACCTCCACTCTCAACAGTGCAGAAGCCAGCACCCACACTCACAGACAACTGTCCAAGTGTCTTCTCTGGCACTTGAGACTCAGCAGACTATATCTAATCCGTTATTACCAACAGATTTCCAATAAGACAGAAATAAAATAGCAGAGTGGGGATTCGGACATTTTCATTACAGGAGAGAAGAAAACCAAAGGATCCCATCCCACTTCATTGGACCACAAGGTCTGGACACATGGAAAATACAAACAGCACTTCTTCCTGTCCCTCCCAACAATACGAGCAGAGGGAATATCTTGGGGAACTTCCGACAATTTGGGAAGGATTGTCAGTCGTGGGAAAAGGTCCTGCCTGAGCAACAATACTCCACATTCAGGCAGACATGATTAAAGGCACCAATGACAGATGTCTTCACAAGCAGGAATGCCACAAGAACAACGGGGAGTGAGGACATGCAGAACTTGACTGCACAGGGCCCTCGGGAAGCTCATCGTTCTTCACACATGGCCTTCACATCCCCATTTGCTTCCTTTGAGGCCCCCCAGGTCCCATCCTACATAAACCACACTGCCATGCTCTCAGCTTACTCAAGCTTCATCCATATGCAAGAAGGGGATCCTCGGAGAAAACATCAGGCAAAGCCTCCAAGCACAGACCAAGGCAGTTGTGTGGCAGCATGAATAACACACTGCCTCTCATCCTCAGAAAGAGATCACAGATGAATTTCTGGTAATTTAGAGAGGCTCCTAGCTGAGGAGCACAGAGTGCCAGGCCTCGTCTCCATGTCATCTTCTGGCATATTCTGTCCTGCACCCTGGGAAATCAGATCTCCAGGAGAGTATTTCCAAACCAGGAGCTGAGGAGCTCTTAGATTCACACCAGCACAGATAGAAAGCTTCAAAAAACATCATTAGGATATTACCACCCCACCAACTAAATAACAAACATTAAAACCATTTTTCGTACAAAGGTTTCAAGTATGAACTGAATGCAAAAGAATAATGCCTACAGGACCACCACCACGTTCCATATCATCCACTGCTTCAGCAATCTCAGGTAGAAATGCTGCACACCAGTAAGAAACAGGATTTCGGGAGCCCATGTTGTGAAAGCACTAAGCACAATCTGCACTGATTTATTCTATCAGAAAATATATATATATATATATTATATATATATTATTATATATATATTTATATAATTATATATATATATATATATATATAAATATATATATATATATATATATATATATATATAAAAGTGAACAGCTAGCCTCCATAAGAAGTTCCAAACCAGGAACTGAGGGGATCAACATATTTACGACAGTTAAAAAAAAAAAAAAACATCGTAAGGGGACTACACACAACAATTCCATAAAAAGGAACAGCAATGCAGTGGAAGTAGAACGAGTAGAACACCAAAGGTGTTCTCCCATCTCCATTCCATTACAAGACTTGTGTGAAAAGTAGGAAGACTCCAACACTGCTGTCTCATGAGCATCAGACAACCCACCAACTGCACCCAGTTGCAATGAGCATGAGCTGGGCACAGGGAAAACATCCGATCACATTTACCAGCACTCCCAGGACACAGGACAGGCCAGTCACCACAGAATGCATATAACTGGCACAGTCAGATCCTCTGAAGCTGTCCTCTAACAAAACACTTTGCCGGATGCAGAAAAACAGTTCTCTGTTGCTCTGTTTATTGCTCTGTCCTCCTGCTCTGCTCTTCTACCTCTCTATTGCAAACTACACAAATAGCATGATAAAAATGGGACAAACATTATATGATTTTTGCTGCACCTTCCCTTTTAACAATGACTTTCTGGCAGTAAACAGAGTGGAAAAGTTAATCTGTCTTCAAGGAGCATAGAAAAAGACAGGGGAAAACGGCATGCCTTGCTGAGAGCAGAGGCATAGCGATCGCGAGCAAATGCAGCTCTACACAGAAGCTGAGCAACAGCAGGATAGGGAAGGAGTCAGACTCATTTCCTCTGATATATTTTGACCTGCACAAGACAAGGCCCCCTGCAACATCATCTAACTCAACTTCAGCCCTCCACCCAATGACGACAAATCCCTTTTTCAAGGGAAATCACCCACTCCACTTCCTGGTCCACTTCTCTGCAATGAGTCATTTTTTTCCATCTTGCTCAACACAACCCAGAGGAGAGAGAGGGATTCACAACTGATGCAGTGAAAATTCTCACAAGGCATATAACCTCAAATGATATTCTGGACATTTCAATACCACATACAATTCTCAACATATGCAAGACCTTCAAATCGTGTCTCTTGGAGCCTGGGAAAAGGACCTGCCCAGGAATACTCAGAGACCGTTTTGCCTCAGGAATCACTTTAGGCACCCTTGATCCCCCATTCTCGAATGTGTGTTTTCAACGCAAGTAGGCACCTCCTCTTCTACTCTTATGGCATGCAATGCAGACTATTGATTTCCTTTTCCCTGAGGCAGTGGGACTTCCCCCCAAAGGTCACAGTTCACTTCAGAATAAGGCCAGGTCCCATTCCGTGCCATTGCCACATCCACCTCCGCCAGGTGACACACTTTCTCTTCCCAACACAATGCTCACTCCAACTTTCACACACCCTTCCCAGCAATGACAGATCTGAAACCTGCAAAACCCTGCCAATGGTCCCATATGCACAGGGACCATCTTGCAGATTCCCTGGAAGAACATCAAAACAGGCCAGTGTGCCTCCTTCAAAAACAGATGTAATGACAGCTAACATCAATGAGTATTGACTTCATTCTGAGAGATGACAACCCTGTTGGTGAAAGAGTGAGACACAAACATCATGGCATCGGTGTTAGAAGCTGCAATAGCTTTGCAGCATTCTGCATGGATACAGGACTTCACAGCATCACTTATCCGAAAACATGAGGCCAAGACTGTTCTGCTTTTCCAGCTACACAAGATGTGTCCTGAATGGCCCTGAAGAAAACAACGTAACAACAGTAGGCCCAGCAGTCAGCTCCTTAAAGGGCTTTCAATAGTGCCTGCTGCATAGTCACAACCAGACCATGTCTTCCTGGAGTGCAGTCCTTACTCAGAAATAGTAACATTCAGAAATGTTACACACCAGTAACCAACAGGATTGGCAGAGACCATGTTGTGACGAAAATCCTTGTAAAATTACTTCCACATCCACATCGTTTCAATGACCTACGTACCGTGAAATGCCATCGGAAAACAAAACACAAGAACTGGTAAAGAAAAAAAATAAAAAAACAGGGGGCAACCTACCGTGCCCGAAGAGTACGGGGAGAGCGAAGGTCCCTTCTCGGCAGAAGCGTTTTCTGCCGCGGGGCCGGGCGGCGGCGGGCAGTTGGGGCTGAAAACCATCAGGTCGCTCTTGCCCGCGCCGTCCGCCACGCACAGGCTCCGACTCTGGCGCTGCGAGTACGACCAGCTGCCCACCTCGCTGGCGCACACCAGCGTGGCCGGCCCGGGCCCCGCCAGCACGGCCGCCCGCGGCGCCCAGCGCGACGCCCCGTACAGCACCACCGCCAGCAGGAACAGGCTCGACACCGCGCAGATGGCCACCACCAGCCACACGTTCGTCGCCGCCGCGCCGCCCTCCACGCCCGCCGCCGGCCGCACACCCGCCCCCGACGACGACGCCCCCGCCGCCGCCGCCGACAGCGCCGCCTCGGCGCCCTCCACCAGCGACACGCTCAGCGTGGCCGTGGCCGAGCGCGACGGCTCCCCGTGGTCCCGCACCACGATCAGCAGCCTCTGCCGCGGGCCGTCCGCCTCCTCCAGCGCCCGCGCCGTGCTCACCTCGCCGCTGTACAGCCCCACGCGGAACGGGCCCTTGCCCCGCGGCTCCCACAGCTCGTAGCGCAGCCACGCGTTGTAGCCCGAGTCCGCGTCCACCGCGCGGATCTTCGCCACCACCTGCCCCGCCGGCGCCCCCCACGCCGCCCACGCCCACAGCGACCCCGGCGCCGACGCCGACGCCGACGCCTCGCCCGCAGCCCAGGGCCCCGGCCCGCCGCCGGCAGGCGGCAGCAGCGCCGGCGCGTTGTCGTTCTCGTCCACCACGAACAGCTGCACCGTGGCGTTGCCGCACAGCGGCGGCTCGCCCGCGTCCACCGCACGCACCTCGAACTGCAGCACCTGCAGCTCCTCGTAGTCCAGGGGCCGCAGCGCCCACAGACGCCCGCTCTCCGCGTCCACCGACACGTAGCTCGACGCCGGACGCCACCCCGACCCCGACCCCGCGCCCGACCCCGCGCCCGCGCCCGCGCCGCCCTCCGCCACCGAGTAGCTCACGCGCCCGTTGCCCGCCTCGTCCGGGTCCCGCGCCCACAGCCGCGCCAGCTCCGCGCCCGCCGCGTTGTTCTCCCGCGCCAGCACCGTGTACACGGCCTGCGCGAACGCCGGCGCGTTGTCGTTCACGTCCGACACCGGCACCCGCAGCCCGCGGCTGGCGCGCAGCGGCGGCGCCCCGCCGTCCTCCGCCCGCACCTCCACCTCGTACTCCGACACCCGCTCCCGGTCCAGCGCCTCCCGCAGCACCAGCGAGTACGAGCCCGCGAACGTCGCCACCAGCCCGAACGGCGCCGGCGGCCACACCGCGCAGCGCACCCGCCCGTTCGCCCCCGAGTCCCGGTCCGACACGCTCAGCAGCGCCACCACCGTCCCCACCGACGCGTCCTCGGGCACCGGCACCGACAGCGACGTCACCCACACCTCGGGCGCGTTGTCGTTCACGTCCAGCACCTCTAGCTCAACTCTGCAGTGCCCTGATAACGAGGGCGTCCCCTTGTCTTTCGCCTCAATGCTAAAGTCAAATACACTGACTTCCTCAAAGTCCAGGGCACCGACGAGGCGGATCTCGCCCGTCTGCGGATTAACCGAAATCAGATCTCTTCCACTCGGGGGAATAAAGTTGCTTGCGCTGTAGATCACTTCACTGTTAATTCCTTCGTCCGGGTCCGTGGCGCCGACTCGGGCCACCAGCATACCCTCCGCTGCGTTCTCCCGCACCTGCACTTTATAGACCGACTGGTTGAACTGGGGTGGGTTGTCGTTTGCATCCAGCACCGACACCAACAGCTCCACCGTGCCCGTCAGTGCCGGCCTGCCCCCGTCAATCGCCGTCAGCACCAGACGGTGCTCGGCCAACGACTCGCGGTCCAGAGATTTCTTTAATACAAGATAAGGTATGATATTCCGTTCATTCTCTTTTCCTATCTCCAGAGCGAAGTGCTCGCTGGGGCTGAGGGTATAGGAGAGCTGCGCGTTGGCTCCGATATCCGCATCCGACGCGCCCTCCAGCGGGAAACGGGATCCCGGCAACGTCGTAAATTCCGCGATGCTGAGGTTTTTGGTGGCGGCGGGGAAGAGCGGCGCATTGTCGTTGATGTCGGTGACCTCCACCTCCACGTGGAAGACGCGCAGCGGCCGCTCCAGCAGCACCTCCAGGCGCAGGGCGCAGGGCGCGCTCTTCCCGCACAGCTCCTCCCGGTCCAGCCGCGAGCTCACCACCAGCGCCCCGCTCGCCCCGCTCACCTCCACGCTCGCCCGCCGGCCCTGCGCCACCAGCCGCAGCCGCCGCGCCTCCGCCTCGCCCGCCTCCAGGCCCAGGTCCTGCGCCAGCCGCCCCACCACCGTGCCGCCCTTGGCTTCCTCCGGCACCGAGTAGCGCACCTGCCCGCCGCCCAGCGCCCAGGCCGCCTGCAGCACCAGCACCCGCACCACGGCCCGCACGCACACCACCATGGCCGCCGCCGCCGCCCGCGCCCCGCACGGCTCCCAACGCCGCCGCCGCCGCTCTCCTGCCCGCCCCGCGCCGCTCCCCCCGCGCGCACAGCCGCCCTTCCCGCCGCCCCGGGGCGGAGCCGCCCTCCCGCCGCTCCCGCGCCGTTCCTGAGCCTGCAGCGACACCGTGTGCTCCGACGCCTCACTCGCGCCCGCCGCCGACAGCACGACAGCGACACCGACACCGCCGCGCGGGACAGGACAGCCCCGCCACTCGCGGGACACACCACGGACACGGCGCCGACACCCACCCCAGCACAGCCCGAGACAGCTCCCCGCACACTGACTGGCTTCCAGCCCTTGCTTGCTTCCTTTTCTGTCTCTCTCCTCCTTTGCTTCTCCTCCATTGTTTCTCCTCTTGCTTGCTTTTCTGCTTGCTTCTTGCTTGCATGCTTTCTTCTGCATGCATACCTTTTCACTTCTTTCTCCATTTTCCTTTTTTCACTTCTTTCCTTCTCACACTTTGTTCCTTCTTTCACTTCTTTCCTTCTTTCTGAACCTTATTTCCTTTTTCATATATCTTCATTCTTTCTCTCTGTTCCTTTATGATTCCTTTATTTTATTTTTTCATTCGAATTCTTCTTCCTTTTTTATTCCTGTGTTACTTCGTTTTTTTTCATTTATTTCCTTTCAGTGTTTCTTTCAGTCTGGAGTGGCGTGTGCTCTCCACACGCTGGCTCCCTGCACATCAACCGGCTGCCAGCCCTGCATTCATCACGCCAATGGATGCTCCCCCTTGATTCTTTTCTTGCTTGCTTGCTTCCTTCCTTGCTTTCCAGTCTCTCTCCTCCTTTGCTTCTCCTCCATTCTCTCTCTTGTTTGCTTTCCTGCTTGCCTAATTTCTTCTGAACATCTTCTTTTCTTCTTTCATCATTATCCATCTTTCACTTCTTTCCTCTTTCCATCTTTGCTTCCTTGCTTCCCTCCTGTATTGGGTCTGTGGTTTTACCACACCTCCTTTCCGTATTTTCCTAAATTTGATTCCTAAATGAAATCCTTTCATTTCTTTCATTTCTTTCTTGCTTCCTTTCCTTCCTTCTATCTCTTTCCTCTTTTGTTTCTCTTCCCTTCTCAGTCTTGGTTGCTTCTTGCTTGCCTACATTCTTCTCAATGTCTACCTTCCTTCTGTCATGCTTTCTCTCATGTTCTTTCTTCACTCGTTCTCTACCTCTCTTCCAGTTCCTTTGTTCTATCAGTGACGTCCTTCCTTTTTACTTGATTCATCCTTTCAGTTCCTTCTTTCCTTTTCTCTTACTTCTTTCAGTCATCCTACAGTATCTTCATTCTTCCTTTCTTTCCTTCACTCCTTCAATCCATCTGCTTCTTTTCCTCTCCTCTCCTCTTTACTTTTCCTTTTTTTTTTCTTCCATTCTCGAAGTGCTTTCCAAATGCCTACACCACACTTCCAATCAAGATAAGACTTGCTCTAACGCAAGACCTCTTCTTCCTCTTCCTCACTGCCTTCCATTCTGCTATGTACAGCATCCCTTAGCACTCAAGATGGCCATGTCCCCCCAAGGAATTTCTCTGATGAGCCACTGCACACCAGAATACCTGGATGCCCACTGCAAACAGGCACCAAGACCTCCATACAGCTCAGGTAAGTCTTTCACTCATTTTATTATTTTTTTTTAACAGCAAAAAATACATCCATCTGTCTCTCAAAAACATATTTTGCATATGAACAACATACCAAGGCTCTGCAGAGCCTCACCTTCTCCCACCACTGCCAGGATCTTCCCCCCTGCACAAATGGCACTCTTTATGTTTTGCACTGGCTCAGGAATCTCTGATGGAAATGGAGAAAGCTGACCTGATAGACTGCATTTACAACAGCTTCTGCTGGAGCAGCCACTCCTCCTGCTCAGGAACACAGGAGTCAAAGGCCATCTGACAGACTGCTGTAAAACCAGGCCTGTGGTACAGAACAGTGAGATGAAGGAAAACCAAGTGGGCAAACAAAAACTAAACTCTACACAGCACCTGGGTAGGCCATGGAACACTGGGCCAGGGATTGACACAAATAACTTTCCTTGGAGACAGAGAGACCTTCACAGGATGAGGCCCTGATCAGCCTCATCTAATTGCAGTGTTCATCCTGCTCTCAGCAAGGGATGTCCACGTGTCACCTTCAGCACAAGGTACCTTATGGTCCTCGTCATTCACTTCCATTGTAAAAAGGGAGGTCATCCCAGGAAAACACCACCTTCCAACAAGTTGCAAGCAAACACAAGGCAAGATCGCCCTGCTCCACATCACCCCGGGAACATTCAAAATGGCCCGGTCCTACTCAGCACCACTGACATGTTCACCTCCACCAGATTCCACACTTGCTCACCACAACCCAAGGCTGACTCCAGCTTTTGCAGAACCTTCCCATCAATGAAAGCACCACAAAGAAACATACAAACAGAATCACATAGACACTGTCTCCAGCACACCCTCTGCAGCTGACCCTTCCACTTTTCTGTCCATCAGCAATCTCATATGCAAACATTACAGGGGGATAAGGAACTGTATTCCTAAAGGTGATGGTGTGACAGCCCAAAAGGCAAAGGGTGCTCATTTCATTTTGTGAAAGGACACCCCAGATGTTGACAAGCAAAGCACTCTTATGGATAACATCAACTCTATGCATGTTTGTATTACATCTTTCAATGAAAAGTTCTGGGGCTTTTCAAGAGGTGGTTGTGATTACCAATGTTGAAAGCACGTGAAATCAGGACACCGTATGTCAAACCATTTCTCTGCTTAGGAACTATAGGCCATAATCAGGCAAAGACGAGAGCACAACTGTTACATGTGCCTCTGTCGAATGCATTTCTGAGCAATGTGTCAACATCACAACACCAGCAGCTCTACAGTTTCAGGCATCTTTCTGGAACCACACATACCATGAAGATTTCACAAGGTTCCCACCCAAAAAAAAAAAAAAACAACCAAAAAAAAACAAAAAAAAAAAAAAAACAAAAAAAAAAAAAACAACCAAAGACATTTTCATTTGAAAGGTTTCAAGGGCACACTGAATGACAAAGAATAGTGCCTGCAGGATCACCATCACCATCCGTCATGTCTTCCACTCCTTCAGCAATCTCAGGTGTAAATGATGCACAACAAAATAAATAAGCATTTGTTGACCTCATGTCATGACAGATTGAAGCAAAATCGGTATTGGTTTTATTCTGTCAGAGAAAACCTCAGATACTGAACAACTAGCCTCAGTAAGATGTTCCAAACCAGGAGCTGAGGACCTCCTAGATGCATGCCAACAGAGACGTGAAAATTAAAAAAGAAAAAATACTAATAATAAGGGGATTACACATAAGGGGATTGTAAGTCCATAAAACCAACAGCAGTAGCATACAAGAAGAACGAGTTGAACACCAACGGTGCTCGCCTATCTCATGTTTCTTTACAAGGCCTGTGTGTGAAGGAGCAAGACTCCAACATCACTGTATCATGAGCATCAGACAAGCCTCCAACTGCACCCATTTGCAATGACCTTGAGCTGGGCACAAGGAAACAATCACGCCACATTTACCAGCACTCCAAGGACACAAGACAGGCCAGTCACCAGAGAATGCATACAACTGGCACAGATCCTCTGAAGCCATCCTCAAACAAAACACCTTGGCTCGTGCATCAAACCAGTTTCTTTCTTCTCCTGACTTCTGGCTGTGCTCTTCTACTCTCCATTGCAAAGAACGCTAGTGGCATACTCATAGAGGGAAAAAGTATAACATGGTTTCAGATGCATCTTCCCCTTTACAAACTACTTTCTGGTGGTAAAGAGAGTGAAAAAGTCGATGTATCTTCAAAGAGCATAGAAAAAGATGGGGGGCACAAGAATGGCATGCAGAGAGCAGCGAAATGGTGATCACAAGCAACTACAACTCTACACAGAATCCATGCAACAGCAGGATAGCGAGGGAGTCAAAATGCCTTCCTCTGACATACTCTGACCTGCACAAGAAAAGGCTCTCTGTAATTTCATCTAACACAATTCCAGCCCTCCACACAAGGACAACACACCTCAAGGGATTCTCCTCAAGGGAAATCAACCACTCTACTTCCTGGCACACTTCTCTGCAATGTCTGAACTTTTTCCTTCTCGTTCAACATGTCCCAGAGAAGAAAGAGGGATTCACAACTGATGGAAGGCAATATGCCTCAAATGACATCCAGACCATTTCAACATCACGTATTGTCTCTGGTTAAGGAAGACCTTCAAATCTTGTGTCTTGGAGTCTGGGAAAGGGTCTTCCACAGCAACACTCTGGGACCATTCTCCCTCAGGCTTTGCTTTAGACACCCATGATCCACCATTCTGGGACATGCGTTCTTAACATGAACAGGAATCTCTTCTACTTCTGTTATGGCAAGCAACGCAGATCCTTTTCAACTTCATCCCTCACATCAGGGAATGGCCAGGTCCTATTCACTGCCATTGCCACATTCATCTCCACCTGATTGCATCATTTCCCTTCCCACCCCATGGATCACTCCAGCTTTCACAGACCCTTCCCATCAATCACAGCTACAAAAAAATATATATATTCCAATGGTACCAAATCCACAATGTCTGGCAGACTCTTTGTAATAACTTCTAAGCAGAGCTCTGTGTGAAATGCCACTTCCCTAACAAGGAATACAAATCCACAGTCAGAAAAGCCCAAAGACCCAAATGTCACCTTCATCATTTCTTCTTGACAGGACAATCAAAACACACAAAAACCAAGTTCTCAACAAGAACAAAAACAAAACACTGCACAATGATAATAGCAGGCTTGTCATTCAGCTAATTAAAGGGCTTTCAATAGTGCCTTCTTGAGAGTCACCACCAGACCGACTCTTCCTGGCCTGCAGTCCTTCAACAGTATCAAGCAGAGTTGCTCCAAACCAGTAACCAACGGGACTTGCAGAGACCATGACATGACAGCTCTAATGAAAATTGGCATTGATTTCATTCTCTCTGAGAAAAACTGAACAACTGGTTTCAATATGATGTCCCAAAGCAAGGGATGAGGAGATCTTGGAGACACAAATAGAGAGATGCAAATGCCGTCATCAGCTGATTACAGACAGTAGCACAATAATAGGAACAGGCATACATGGACACAACTAGAACAAGTTGAACAGACACAAACGGTGGTCACTGGCCCCCTGTCACATTTGCTACAGTTTCAAAGAGGAATAAGACACCAATATTGAGGTACAATAGGTATCAGACATGAGAATGACTTTCCACCATCACGCATGGAGAGAAGATTTTACAGCAGACCCTGTACAGCATGAGAGGTCCACAGAAAGGCCCTGTCCTGGCAGCAGGAGCAGGAATCCAAGCACATCGGCACTTGCCAGGCCCCACGCTGAGGCACAGACCCTGGCCACAGTACTGTTGGCACTCACAGCTCAAGCACCTGATGAGCACTGAGCAGCTGTGGGTCCAGGGGCTGCACCTGGCTGCCACATCCGCTTCTGAGGGGGCAGCCTGGAGTCAGATCTTCTGAAATTGTCCTTGAACAAAATGCCTTGGATGATGCAGAAAAACAGCTCTCTGTTTCTTGCCCCGATCTCCCGGTGTGCTCTTCTACCTCTGTATTCCAAAGCACCCAAAAGGCATACTCATAAAAGGGGAAGTATAACATGCTTCATACTGCATCATGGCTTTCCAAAACAATCTACTGCTGAAAAAATATTGTACATTTTCAAGGGGCATAGAATACACTTCATCTTTTACACTTGTTCTATTAACAACCCTTTGTGAGAAATAGTAAGACACCAACAGCATGGTGTCAACAGCATCAGCCACTACAACTAAGCAACATCACAAATGGAGAGCAGACTTCAGAGCTGAACCCTGCCACAGACAGCATCTTTCACAAAAACACCAGGAGAAAAGTGTCCAGGTGTTAAATCTACACAAGAGGAAAATTAACTTCACCACCTGATTACAGTCAATACCCCAAAATAGCACCAGGCATACATGGCCACAAGTAGAATAAGTTAAACAGGCACCAACAGTGTTCACCTGCCCCACATCCCATTTCTAAAAGTGTGTGTGAAGGTGCTAGGCACCGATATCATGGTATCATCAGCATCTGACAGTACAATGACTTTCCAGCATCACGCATGAAGTGAAGACATCACAGCTGACCCCTCGACAACATCTTGACCAAAAAACACAACAACAAAAAAAATTCACCAGCAAGTGTTCAGGTGTTCCAACAACACCAGAGGTTTCAAGAAGAGCCCTGTCCCAACAGCAGGAGCAGGGCTCCAAGCACAACAGCCGTTGGCAGGACCTGCACTGGGCCCCAGACTCATGTCCTACTGCTGTTCGCACTAGCAGCTCGAGCATATGACAAACACCAAGACGCCATGGACCCGGGGGCTGCGCCCGGCTTCCACAACCAATTACAAGGGGGCAGCCAGGAGACCAGGAGACGGGGTGGAGAAGGAAAGGGAGGAGAAGAGGGCAAGATTAAAGAGCAGGACACAGACAATAAAGAGGGAGAAGACGAGGGGGAGGAAGAGGGCAAGATTAAAGAGCTTCAGAATAAGGCCAGGTCCCATTCAGTGCCACTGCCACATTCACCTCCGCCAGATGACACACTTTCCCTTCCCAACACAATGCTCACTCCAACTTTCACAGACCCTTCCCAGCAATGACAGATCTGAAACCTGCAAAACCCTGCCAATGGTCCCATATACACAGGGACCATCTTGCAGATTCACTGGAAGAACACCAAACTGGCCAGTGTGCCTCTTTCAAACAGAGATGTAATGACAGCTAACGTCAATGGGTATTGACTTCATTCTGAGAGATGACAACCCTGTTGGTGAAGGAGTGAGACACAAAATTCATGGCATCGGTGACAGACAGTACAAGAGCTTTGCAGCATCCTGCATGGATACAGGACTTCACAGCATCACTTATCCAAAAATATGAGGACAAGACTGTTCTGCTTTTCCAGCTACACAAGGTGTTTCCTAAATGGCCCTGAAGAAAACAACGTAACAACAGTAGGCCCAGCAGTCAGCTACTCAAAGGGCTTTCAACAGTGCCTGCTGCACAGTCACAACCAGACCATGTCTTCCTGGACTGCAGTCCTTCTGCAGAAACAGTAACATTCAGAAATGTTACACACCAGTAACCAACAGGACTGGCAGAGACCATGTTGTGACGAAAATCCTTGTAAAATTACTTCCACATCCACATCGTTTCAATGACCTACGTACCGTGAAATGCCATCGGAAAACAAAACACAAGAACTGGTAAAGAAAAAAAATAAAAAAACAGGGGGCAACCTACCGTGCCCGAAGAGTACGGGGAGAGCGAAGGTCCCTTCTCGGCAGAAGCGTTTTCTGCCGCGGGGCCGGGCGGCGGCGGGCAGTTGGGGCTGAAAACCATCAGGTCGCTCTTGCCCGCGCCGTCCGCCACGCACAGGCTCCGGCTCTGGCGCTGCGAGTACGACCAGCTGCCCACCTCGCTGGCGCACACCAGCGTGGCCGGCCCGGGCCCCGCCAGCACGGCCGCCCGCGGCGCCCAGCGCGACGCCCCGTACAGCACCACCGCCAGCAGGAACAGGCTCGACACCGCGCAGATGGCCACCACCAGCCACACGTTCGTCGCCGCCGCCGCCGCCGCCGCGCCGCCCTCCGCGCCCGCCGCCGGCCGCACACCCGCCCCCGACGACGACGCCCCCGCCGCCGCCGCCGCCGCCGACAGCGCCGCCTCGGCGCCCTCCACCAGCGACACGCTCAGCGTGGCCGTGGCCGAGCGCGACGGCTCCCCGTGGTCCCGCACCACGATCAGCAGCCTCTGCCGCGGGCCGTCCGCCTCCTCCAGCGCCCGCGCCGTGCTCACCTCGCCGCTGTACAGCCCCACGCGGAACGGGCCCTTGCCCCGCGGCTCCCACAGCTCGTAGCGCAGCCACGCGTTGTAGCCCGAGTCCGCGTCCACCGCGCGGATCTTCGCCACCACCTGCCCCGCCGGCGCCCCCCACGCCGCCCACGCCCACAGCGACCCCGGCGCCGACGCCGACGCCGACGCCTCGCCCGCAGCCCAGGGCCCCGGCCCGCCGCCGGCAGGCGGCAGCAGCGCCGGCGCGTTGTCGTTCTCGTCCACCACGAACAGCTGCACCGTGGCGTTGCCGCACAGCGGCGGCTCGCCCGCGTCCACCGCACGCACCTCGAACTGCAGCACCTGCAGCTCCTCGTAGTCCAGGGGCCGCAGCGCCCACAGACGCCCGCTCTCCGCGTCCACCGACACGTAGCTCGACGCCGGACGCCACCCCGACCCCGACCCCGCGCCCGACCCCGCGCCCGCGCCCGCGCCGCCCTCCGCCACCGAGTAGCTCACGCGCCCGTTGCCCGCCTCGTCCGGGTCCCGCGCCCACAGCCGCGCCAGCTCCGCGCCCGCCGCGTTGTTCTCCCGCGCCAGCACCGTGTACACGGCCTGCGCGAACGCCGGCGCGTTGTCGTTCACGTCCGACACCGGCACCCGCAGCCCGCGGCTGGCGCGCAGCGGCGGCGCCCCGCCGTCCTCCGCCCGCACCTCCACCTCGTACTCCGACACCCGCTCCCGGTCCAGCGCCTCCCGCAGCACCAGCGAGTACGAGCCCGCGAACGTCGCCACCAGCCCGAACGGCGCCGGCGGCCACACCGCGCAGCGCACCCGCCCGTTCGCCCCCGAGTCCCGGTCCGACACGCTCAGCAGCGCCACCACCGTCCCCACCGACGCGTCCTCGGGCACCGGCACCGACAGCGACGTCACCCACACCTCGGGCGCGTTGTCGTTCACGTCCAGCACCTCCACCACCACCTTGCAGTGACCCGACAGCGGTGGGTTTCCCATGTCCTTTGCATCCACTTGTAGGCGATACAGTCCAACGTCCTCAAAGTCTAAAGTACCTCTCAGATGAATCTCTCCACTCGTTTTGTGAATTTCAAACATGTCTCGTCCATCCTGAGGAAACAGGCTCTGAAGAGAATACGAGATGTTCCTATTGGAGCCCTCATCTAAATCCGTGGCATTTACTCTGAGCACAAAACTGCCCCGTTCACTATTTTCCGGCAGCCGCACTTTATACACCGACTGGTCGAACTGGGGAACGTTGTCGTTAACATCTAGCACCGACACCACCAGCTCCGCCGTGCCTGTCAGCGACGGCCTGCCCCCATCAATCGCCGTCAGCACCAGACGGTGCTCGGCCAACGACTCGCGGTCCAGCGGCCGCCTCAGCACCAAGAATAACGACTCGGTATCATCCTCCGTTTTCTGCAAATCCAAAGCAAAGTGCTCGCTGGGGCTGAGGGCATAGGAAAGCTGCGCGTTGGCTCCGATGTCCGCATCCGACGCGCCCTCCAGCGGGAAACGGGAACCGGGAGGCGAGGTTTCCGATAAACTGAGGTTTACCAGAGCGGCGGGGAAGAGCGGCGCATTGTCGTTGATGTCGGTGACCTCCACCTCCACGTGGAAGACGCGCAGCGGCCGCTCCAGCAGCACCTCCAGGCGCAGGGCGCAGGGCGCGCTCTTCCCGCACAGCTCCTCCCGGTCCAGCCGCGAGCTCACCACCAGCGCCCCGCTCGCCCCGCTCACCTCCACGCTCGCCCGCCGGCCCTGCGCCACCAGCCGCAGCCGCCGCGCCTCCGCCTCGCCCGCCTCCAGGCCCAGGTCCTGCGCCAGCCGCCCCACCACCGTGCCGCCCTTGGCTTCCTCCGGCACCGAGTAGCGCACCTGCCCGCCGCCCAGCGCCCAGGCCGCCTGCAGCACCAGCACCCGCACCACAGGCCCCCACCTCAGCCGTGTTGGTCCGCAAACGCCCATTGCTGTCACCAATTTCGTCTTCTCTCCACCATGTAGGTCCTGATGTGTATATTTATAGTTTCTGGCTGCACTCGGTATTAGGATCCTCTTGCAATGGCTGCGCGTCCTCTTCCTTGCAGCTCTTTCTGTCATCTGCGTTATTTCTCACGGGTACCGGAAGGTGTTCCCCTCATCCTCCCCCTTTTTCATCATGCGTTTATTATGTCAGAGCGGCATCATGTGGCAGTCTGTAGGTATTGCTTCTTACCGTGCTCTGCATATCGCCTCTTAATTAGCTCCGGTTTTGCCATTTTCCATTCCAGGCACTTCTGTTTGAGGTTGTTGCCGAGTACTCACCTGCAACGCTTTTCACTGTTCTAGTTCAGGAGAAGTGCATATAGTTTTCTTTACAATGTGACGCTAACTAATCATTCACAATTCTTTTCCAAGTGACACTATCATGCCATGAAATGTGCTGAATGTATTTGACAGCTCCCAAAATCACCGTGATCGGTGTTCCTGTTAGAAACCTTGAGGTCTAAATGAAGTGTTTCTGTAAACATGCTCTATTTAATGCCGTTCTATTCATACTTTACAACCAAATAAATCTAAACCTCTCTTGTAGATAAAACACCCGGAAGCGGATTCTCAGACTGATCGAGTAACTCTTACAAGGACTGTGAGCAGGGGGCGAAGTCGAAACAGGGAAACAGATCCCCTTCTTCCACTCGCGGTCGCTGGGTCCTCTCCACGGCTTCCTTCAGTGGGAACTGGGCGGTTCTGCGACAGCTCCTTCCCGGGGGAGATTCCCCGTTTCCTGCCCGCTCTGCTGACAGTGCAGGGTCGTAGTAACCTTGCTGTGAAACGCTCAAAGGAAAGGAGACACGAAGTGAGAGCAAACTCTCACAAGCGCCAGTTCCAAACCTCTCGGAGTGGGGGCCATAGGAGGGCGGAAGGGAGAGGAGACAAGCACACTACGCGTGGATGCTGCAGTCCCTTGGGAGAGAGCGGAAGAGTCGTGTTACCGGCGAGATCCTTCCTTCAGATGAGACAGGGCTGAGATTTTCTGCTTTTAAGGGTATCTTCGCCGTTCGTGCTCGCCGTCTTCTACAGGCACGCCGGCGGGGCAGGATGCTGCCGCTGGCGGCTCAGTGTCACCCCTCAGTACCCACTCCCAGTCCCCGGCAAAGCCCGGTGCGCTGCACTGAGAGGATTCTCCACCATCCTCTGAAGCTCCAGGGCAAAGCCCACCACCTGCCTACATAGCTCTTGTCTGGCCACCTTTGCATCCGCCGTCACCTGCCTCGCGCACCGGCAGCAGCCGCGCTAAAGCTGGGAGCAAGTCGCCGCCTTATCCCTGCAGATCCCGCACACAGAACTTGGTTCAGGAGCACTGACCACGGCTGTGCCTGCTGACCTCTCTGCTCTCCGGCTTCTCGCAGACGCATGCGGAAATCCACCGCTGAAGGTAGTCAGGCTTTCTAGGAACAGCAATCATGTCTCGAGTCCAGATCCGTATCTAGTCCTTGATGCCCGCTGTATTTGGTTTATGCCGTCTTGCCTTTATCCGGCTGAAACTCAAAACGCAAAAGATGAATGCTTCTTCCTCCTGCGTCTTAGCACCTTTACTGTTTTTTGTTTGTTTGTTTGTTTTTTGTTGTTGTTGTTGTTTTTTAATCCCTGCCCACGACAGACTCATCGCCCCGAGGGTCATTCAGAGACACCACGTTTCCTATCCCAAATCCTTACAGATGGAGCACAGTGGATTTTCAGCCCCCGAAGAAGTCTTTCCCTCCGGCGCTGCTCCCCAGCGGAGCAGCCCAGGGAGAACGGTAATCGTGACCTCTGGCAGACACTACCGCAGCCGGTACTGCGACTCCCTAAGCCCACGGACACGTTTCTGCCATACCCAGAATGTAACACAGCACGTTTTTTCCTTTTTTTCCATTCTTTAAGTTTAGGTATTTTCTGCGGCTCACTCTGTTACTACCACAGACGGAAACAAAATCTATCCCGTTCAGTGTAAATGTGTTTTGTTGACTTTTCCAGGCGAAGGCAGATGGTTACTCTGTTATCAAACAGAGGAATTCCACGAGTAAGAATGTACAAGGCACGATTTTGCAAAATTAATCCAAAGACACGTTCCCGACTACTGAAATTCCTGGAAAATAAGATCTAAATGTAGAGTTGGTCTTTGGTTTGTTTGTTTCAGTTTCGTGTAGTAAAAGGAAGTAAGGGTTTAGGTGGAGATCAGCGTCTTGACTCGTGCATAGAAAGAGATGCTGGGACAGATTGTCTGTCAACAAAGCCATCGAGATCATTCCACGTGAATCCAGGACAAGATGTGTTTAAGCAGGATATATATATTTTTCCTGCTTACCCACTTGCTAAATTCATCCACTTACCTGGAATAAGTAGATCGCCTCTGGACAAATAGTTTCCTGCCATATTCATAATGTTGAGAATATAATACCATTGTTGGCAAAAACACAACACTCGTTTACTTTCAAGTATCTTAGAGCTGTACTAAGTTCTAAAAGACTGCTTTAAAAACGTAGTAGCATGTTTTAATCGGGAAGACAATTGCTAAAGAGAAAACATGCATTACTACCAAGAACAGAAGACACGGCGTCCCTCCTCCTGTGTTATGAGTAGTTGTCTGCATCATTTCTATATAATTTCTATATCCACCAAGCAGCTCGAATAAATGGTCTCACAATGCCGGAGATCTGAGCTTTGCTAGGGATAAAGATGTTTCTGGAAGCAAAGAAACAAACTATCCAAGATAACCTACAAGTTGGAAGAGATTCGTGCTTACTCAAATCCAGCCCACGTGGGATTCTCACTTTCTGATTAAATCCAGCTTCTGCAGAGGGTAAGGCAAATCCTCAAGCACTGTAGCATTGCATTGCATTGTAAACACGGATGCACAACTAATTTGCCTTTTACAACACCTGTATCTGTAATGTGAAGCCACCAAGTTCATAGGGAGAAACTGAGAAGATTCTGCAAAAAAAGCACTCGAGCTGGTGGAGTTTCTATTGTCTAACGGCTTAGTTTCCCTCTTCCGACTCTGCTGAGTCTCAGAATGGGCGCTGTGCCACGGACTGAGCATCAGGGGAGGAGTGTTGCTCGCCCTGAGGACCCGACGGCTGACTTGGGCGTTGCTCTCCGAGCCTCCTGCATTAGACAGAAGGGGTGACTGCCTCGCTAAAGGGGTGTGAAATAACCAGGAGTCTCGGCCTCCCAAGCTCAGTTTATCCATCATCAGAGATCACAGAGTGAGCGCTGGATTTTTAGAAGAGCAGGTACAGCCCAACGGCAGGGATTTGGAGCAGCTCAGACTGGCTGGGAGGTTCGCCTCTGCCTGTCCTTTAGTCAGTGGAGACGGACAGACTTTTCCAGGGAGATTTGGAGAGCCCTATGGCGGCCCCCACTGAACTCAAAGCGTGACTTTAATTACGCTCTGAGGCAAGAGACGAAGAATTGGAGGAGGGAGAAAAGCCGCAGCTCCAGCAGTCGGTGCTGTGACCCAGGACTTTTTCCATCACCGAGATGGAAAGGGCCGAGCAGCAGCTCCGGACCAGCCGGCACAGGGTGACTGTCCCCATCGACGGGGATCCGGGACGAAGAGCCTGTTGCCTCCTGAAGGGCCAGTAAACAAAGAAATTTTCGATTTCCGTGTGTATGTCAACTGGTGAGGGTCTGTGTCGGTTGGAAGTGATGTTGATCTGTATAAAATGTTAGGATTCCAAACATGAGCTAATTAGCCTCGTGGTTCGGTCTGGAAAACGATGTGAAGCAGTCAAGTAGCATTGAAGAAAGCGCTCACAGCCGCATCCCGCGGAGCGGGTCCCTCACGCCTCTTTGACACAGCCTGGAGGCTCGAGCACGGCCCAGAAAAGCGAAGATCGGGTTTCAAAGCCTTCCCGAGACCGAAAACGTTTAAATCCAGAAGTGCCCTAAGCACGGGGAAAGGAACCATCCGGCGGTCTGGGGGCACGGCGGGCGCTGAGCGGTCGCTCGGGGGCCGGAGGCACTGCGGGGTTTGCCCCGCGCTTCGCCTTCAGCAACCAGGATCCCAGAGCGGGGAACGGGCGACAAATCCGCCCCTTTCTGCCTCTGTCTTCAGGACCTTGGCAGATCCAGAGCCTTCCTCTCCCCGCGTTTTTAGGGAAGCTGCCGGCGATGTCCATTGCTTTGTGCCCGGCCGCCGGGTGGTTGCTGCCGGCGCTCAGCCTGTCACTCGCGCGGTGACAGGACGTGTCGCAGGGCCAGGCAAAAGCCTTCCGCTGTCGCCCTGCTGCGCCCCGGCACCGAGCGATGGTCCCGGCCGGAGAGCTGGGGGAAAATCCGCCTCTTCTAAGCCCTTCCTCCTCAGCGGGGTAGGCTCCCCCCCAAATTGGGATCCGCAGCGTTTGCAGGGGAGCAGACGAAAATCTGCTTTTTTTCTTCCTCTTCGCTCTTCCTCCAGCACAGGAAATATCCCGGCAGCGCCGCGGCGGCTTCTAGCGGGCGACAGCGACACCGTGAGCACGGAGTGGCGCCGGGCAGGCGGCGGAGGCTGGCGGCGGCCGTGCCTTGATCCGAGCGCTGGGGTCCGGCAAGGGTTTGGCTTCGCATGGGCAGCCGCAGCAGCTCTTTTTCTGCATCTCTCTTGTCGCTGGAGGCTTTGTCCACAGCTCGCCTTTGTGTAGGATAGCGCTGCACCGAGTGCTGTAATGGAAGCCAGCGTTTGTCACGTGCCAATATTTTAGGGATGCGCTGTGCAGCCCCGGGTTCTTGCTCCAGGGGAAGCCCACCCCCTCCCGTGTCAGAGCCCACCTCCTCAGGACGACCGCGGCGATGCAGAGACATCCTTCAGCGATTATCATTTTGGCTCCTCAATCTGTGGAGACAGCTCATGCAATAACCTCTCCGCGCCCCAGCCTCCTGCAAACCACATGGCGACGTTTGTAGCAGCACCTCACCAGTCCCCACGTACCCCGGTGCAAACGGGCACGGGCACCCGGCGGCGGGCTGGACCTCGGCTGCTGGCGCAGAATAAAACGTGAAGAATAAGGTCTAGGGGGGCAATTAGCCGTGGCCCAAGGAAAGCGGTGCGCAGAGCAGGCACCCCGGGGTGCTCAGCCCGTGCCCTCCACCACGTCCTCGCTTGGGGACCTGCGGCCCCGCCAGCTCCGCTGCCCCCGGCGGCGGCGGCAAGGTGCGGGAGGCAGCCCCGCTGCGCGGCCTGCCGACCCCGGCGACTTCATTCCCCAGATCCCATCAGCGCTCCAGCTCGGGAGCAGATGGTTCCCTCCGCCCCGGGTTCACCGCGGACAGATTGCATACAATTTATTAATAACCCAGCAGATGCTCGGGCACTTTCCAGCCCGGATTATATTTCCTGATTGCTCAAATCCCGGCGCGGGGGAGCTGCTGGTTTATCTCCCACCGCTGCTGTCTGTGCCGCACCAGCACCGGCCCGTTAGTTCCCCGCCTCGCCGGTGGCCGGCAGGGAGCGACTCCCAGTAAAACAACGGGGCCTGGGGTTCGTGCCCGTTACTCCCCAGGGTTTCGCTAATCGGGTTGCAGGGAGACAGGATCCACCCTCCCGGAGCTGTTTTCCAAGCCATGGGGATGGCTTTATCAAGGAGAAATTAAGCAGCCCATCAAGAAAAACAATACAGCCCCCGTGCCCCTGCCTTGGGCAGGGGCAGTGAGACAGAAATGGAAGCTGCTGACCCCATCTCCGCCAGGCAAAAGGTCTCAAGACAGGAGGGGGATGCGGGTTGAGAGGCTGCTTGCACCTCGTGAGACCCCTCCCGGAGCTAGACAAGATGCTCTGAGCCATCACGGCCCTTTCAGCAATGCTACTTTCAATTTTAATGTGTAAAATGGGTTTTTCTTTGGTCTGCAGAGAGAAGCACAAAAGCAGCAGGTTGTTTATACTACTGAATAAACTAAATGCAGGTCTCTGAGGGATCTTATACAAACCACTTACCTTGAAAAGTAATCCCATGAGGAAGTGAGCTACAGAGAAATGCGTGGTTAATGTTTTACATCTTCAGAGCAGCATCCAAGTTGCTGGCACAGCACCAGTTAGCATTAGGTATCACAGGTGGTTACAATTTGGAATGCAGAAATCCATTCTAAGGTGTAAGTAGCAGGGCATTTGGGGCTGAAGTTCAGTGGAGCATGGTATAGGGGTTAATCCTAAAGGCATAAACTAATCTTAAAGTTGAAGGCTAAGTGAGAGTTTGTAGAGAAAGAACATGTATTATTAGAGTGCATGCCACAATGTAGCTTTAAAATAAATATAGGAAGCATAGAAATCTTTTCTGCTCAGTGGCAGCTGGGCTCAATAAAAGGCATTTCACTTACTGTGAATGCAGGTAAGAGACACTCTCAGCAGTAACAGCAGAAGAATATTAAAGTCTGTTACATTTTTCATAGCTCCTGACATTTGCAGTATAATTCCACTTCCTTGCCTTCACCATGCTCCCTATGCCCAAAATACTTTGTGCAGGGATGCATTTTCTTTATTTCAACCTTTCTAAGTGCAGTGAGAGAATTAAGCAATTACAGGGGAAAAAAAAAAAAAAAAAAAAAAAAAAAAAAAAAACTCTTTCCTCCTTGCTCTACGGCAATAGAGAACAACTGGACAAGATGATGCCAGCTGGGCTTGCTGTAGAAAGGAAAATTGGGGTGCAAAAGCTGGGGGTGTTGTGTTAAGATGGTAGGGAAGAACCCCCTGCAGTTTCAGGAGGAAGCTGTAGAAGGCCTCGCACCCTGAAACTTCAGTTCCTATCTATAGGTTCCCCTAGTACCACACATCCCCCCAAAAGTCCACCCAAAAGGGAGTAGAGGGAAATTTCAACACTGGTAAAGGGTTCCCAGTGGGTATTTTATTCAGTTTCCCTCATATTTTCTCCATCTTTCTGTACCATCAACTGCAAATATTCTCCCAGTTCAGAAATTCTCATAGGCTGTTCATTTAGACAAATCTCTCACCACAACTATTTTTTTTCTTCCACTCTCCTTTTCTGTGCAGAAGCTCTGCAAGCCATGAGCACCGTCTCCTTTTTCCTCTCACTGACTTCCCAAACACCTATGTCCTCACTGAGTTTCCTAGACTGAGGTCACAATATAAAGCACAAAAAGAGCAAAACCAACAGCAGCAACAAAAATGTTGTCTGGCTTGATAAAAGAAGTTTTTCTATCATGCACCACTTCAAGCCTTTGAGAAATTGTCACCAGTGAGTAAATATTTTTAAACAACACACATTTAAAATGAATGTATAATGATGTGATCTCTTATTGTGTGAATTTTTCAATCTTGACCTCTTCATTGCTGAATTTGGAAAGAGGGAAATATGAAACATAGCCAAAATACTGAAAATTACAAAGTAGAACATAGTAACAAAACAAACAAGCAAGAAACAAAACAAAACAAAAAAAAAGTGTGAAGGATTCTCTTTCTGCTTCTTTTTTTTTTTTTTTTAATTATAATGTGGTGGTTTTACTTGGGTGGGCAGCTGAGCTCCACCACAACCGTTCTCTCACTCCCCCTCCTCAAAGGGAAAGGAGGAGAAAATATGATGCAAAGGGCTCAAGGGTTGAGATAAGGGCAGGGAGATCACTCAACAGTTACTGTGACGGGCAAAACAGACTCAGAGTAGGGAGATAATAAAATTTATTGCCTGTTGCAAACAAGCTAGAGAAGTGAGAAACAAAGGAAAGAAACCCAAAACACCTTCCCCCCATCCACTCTGAGTGGCACAAGGGAACAGGGGAATGGGGGTTGTGATCAGTCTATAGTACTTGGTCTCTGCTTCTCCTTCTCAGTCCCTCTCTGTCCCTGCTCCACGTGGGATCCCTCCCACAGGATGCTGTCCTTCCCAAACTGATCCTGTGTGTGCTTCACACAGGCAGCAGCTCTTCAAGAACTGCTCCCATATGGGTCCATACCATGGGGTCCATCCATCAGGAGCACTCTGCTCCAACCTGGGTCCCCCACAGGCAGCAGCTCCTGCCAGGTCACCGACTCCTGTGTGGGCTCCTCTCCACAGGCAACAGATCCAGCCTGGGGCCTGCTCCGGTGGGGGTCCTCCACAGGCTACAGCCTCCTTCAGTGCAGGTCCACCTGCTCCACCATGGTACTCCATGGGCTGCAGAGGGACATTCTGCTTCACCATGGTCCTCACCACAGGCCACAGGGGACTTCTGCTCTGGCACCTGGAACACCTCTCCTCCTGATTCTTTACTGACCTTGGTGCCTTCAGGACTTGTTCTCACTCCCAGATTGTCTCTCTCTCCCAGCTGTTGCTTCCCAGCAGCCCTTGCCTTGCCTTGCCTTGCCTTGCCTTGCCTTGCCTTGCCTTGCCTTGCCTTCCCTTCCCTTCCCTTCCCTTCCCTTCCCTTCCCTTCCCTTCCCTTCCCTTCCCTTCCCTTCCCTTCCCACAGAGGAGCAAACAGCATCACTTACTGGCTTGGTGCTGGCCATCAGTGGGGCCCTTACCTAACATGGAGCAGCTTCTTGATTCTTCTCACAGAAGCCACCCCTATGGTCCCCCAATTCCAAAAACCTTGCCATGTAAACCCATTGCATTCCACTCCTCACCTCTGTGATAAGCATATTTAAGAATAATCACAATATACTCTTTCGTCACAATCATCACAGTCTTCACAAAGTTCAATTACATCAAAAAGAAAAAGAATTCCCCACACCAAAATAAACATAATGTCATCACAACACTGACAAAGTGGACAATTTACACACACTCCACCCCTCGTCCCTTCACCACACTAGTATGGAACATATTCCTCATAATTACTACTTTCTTGAATTCTTCACAGTTGCTACATTCATAAAAAACATCCAGTCCATGTTTTGCCTGTTACTTCTCTCAACTGTCATCCCCATCTCAATGCCCACCTGAGTAAAACCATCACATATAATCACCTCAAGAGTGAAAGGATCAGCCATCAGCTCAGGACAGACACATCCCAGTAAAAAAACAAATGGGAGTGTGCTCAGAAGCTCAGCCTGCGTGTACATGTAAGAGTCATTTGGGAACTTTGGCTCTGACAGGAGTAAGGGCACGTGGAAGTGTATGGGGAAGAGAGAAAGCAAAGGGAAGCAGGGTTCATGGGCCAGCTGTTTGGAGTAGGGAAAAAGCTTCCTTGCCTGCAGACTCTCCTGTTCATGCAGACTTCTACACAGGTACCAGCAGTGCAGGATCATGCCCTGGTGTTGCCCTTGTGCAGTTTGGCAGGAAGGCACAAGCCTCCCATCGCACGCTTTGGTCTCTAGGGTACAAATCTGGTACAGCCCCTGCCCGCGTGGCAGGCAAAAAGGCTTGGGTGATCAGCAATTCCAGGGACTTCTGTGATTTGAAAAGCTGCTGGGGATGGCTTGTCCTCTTCCAGCTCTCCTGGGTCACACTACACTCTGAGCTATGTTCTGCTCTTCTCTATGTCGTATAATTCCCAAACTCCCAGTGGTTAAGCTTGAGTAACTGATGCTGGGTATTGTCACAGAACAACATTTGCTCAAACAGTACCAAGGTTACAATGTTGCCTGATGTTTGAGGGAAAAAGCTCAAAAACCAGGGCAGTCATCAGAGCCCAGCTGGTGTGAGACAAGTAGCAAGGCATGGTTAGGACTGGGTACATCCAGGACTCCTGTAGAGCTTGGCTGCAAATGGGAAAAGCAGAGACTGGTTTATCTGACTGCTGCACAGTGTTGCACTGGCATACATGTTGCAAGCAAATCAGGTGGAAATATGGAAATCTCTGTATTGACTGAGTTTTTGCTGCAGCCACAATGACACCTCCATCACTATAGGGTGAGGAAAAGTGAAAAGCTGACCTGTTGTGATCACAGAATCACAGAATGGAGTTGGGAAGAGATGGCTGGGCATCACCTGCTCCACTCCTCTTTGCTTTAAGCTGGCTGCCCAGGTCTGGGTCTAATCAGTGATCTGACTACTTGTTGGTTGTTGGTTTCCTTGGGATCAGCTTTCAGCATCAGAAACATGAAAAAAGGTGTTTGTTTGGAGGGTTTTGCTTTATTTGTTTGCTTTGTTAAAAATATGCCTACATCATTCTTTTGATGCACGTGAAATATTTTTTTTGTGTACATGAGTTTAAAAATGTTCTGTCTTTGTCAGCCCTGCTATTCTCCACTCATCTTTAAGGCAACAACCAGCTGTATGTGTGCCAACAGATTTTACTGAATAATAAAGCAGCAAGCAATCCAGTTAAGCCAATGAACGAGAGTCTCGTAATCCCAACCTAGAAAACACTGAAAGCAGCTTCTGGATTGATATGTAATTTGCCACCAAAATAAATAAACAGATCAAGCTTTAAGCACCATAGCATTCATCAGGGAAACAAAAGCCAGGGCAGATTAGCAGCCTCCTCAGTTGGAACGAGGAAAAAAAAAAAAAGATAACTGAAGCCAGACTCACAGTCTCAATCCTT